ATATCGGATGTCAAAACTTGATATAAATATTTATTTATAATATTTATATTTGTACTAAACGATTTATCAATTTGAAAATAACTTTAATTTAAGCTAATATTTGTTGTTTGGGTTTCAATAGATAGGTTTGGATATGTTTTTTTGTAAGTTTGGATTTTGTTCATGAATAATGTGGTATTTTTCTTTACGGCGTCATCGACTGTGGAAATCCATCCGCCAGAGTTTGATAAAAATGAAATTATAGTAACTATTAAAAATTGAAGAGAAATTACATAGTTATTTTATAAATAACAAAACTATTTATTTTATTTTATTTCACATACATAATTTTTTGAAAATATATATTAGGAAATATGTTCTAACAGTAAAAATATATATTAGGACATGATAGTGCGTGAGACTCGTTTTTTTTTTTTTTTTTTGATATTCGTTTTTTGATCCATTTTTAATTTTTTGGGTTTGAGTTTGTCAAACTTTAGGATTTTTCCACTATTTTGGGCTTTAAACAATAAGTCCAAAGGAAAAAAACATAAAAACATTAAAACTAAAAAGCCCATATGATAATAATCCAAACGAAAAAAAACTAAAATACATAACAATTGAACCCACACACTTGTAGACTTAATTAAATGTTTTATACCACTTTGCTAAAGTGTATTCATTGTTCATAGTTATTTTAAAAAAACTATAAGTTTTTAAAATTTAAATACGCAGGGCCCACTCGGCTGCTGATGTGGATAGCCTTAGGAGCTTCAAAAGTGAATCATTATTATATAGATTGTAGAGATTTATTGAACAAAATTGTTCCTTATTAAACTTGATATGGAATAACTATTCCTCTTCATTCCCATAATTTTATTCCCATCTATTCCTTTTTTATTTGTTCTTGATATTCATGTGATGGTTACCAGTTAGAGCCTTTGACTAATACTATAACTTTTTTTTTCCGGGTCAATACTATATAACTTTTCTATGTGTTAGATGCATGACCGATTCTAAGCTTTAATAGACCACAAATAGTTGAAATTATATGTGTAACTATAGTGTACTCCTAACCGGTTCTAAGGTTCATATGACCAAAACTAGTTAAAATAAAACTTGTATACAATTTTCTTACTATTTATGGATATATGTATATTAACTCACTAGGTGTTTTGCCCGCACTTGCGGGCTTAATAATTTTACTAATATATATAAATAAATATATAATCAATTTATGTAAATTATAATAAATTATAGTTTATAGACTCAAAATATTTAATAATAAACTAAAAAATTCTTTCTATATATAAATTTTTCATCATCATATAAAACATTTAGTAATAATTTAATATCATTTTTAGACATAACAAAAAAGTATAAAAATTATCTTTAATAATGTTTTGGATAACACAATATAAATTATCTATACATAAATTATTTGCGAATTGATTTTTCATAATTAACTATATATTAACAAATAGAATTAGTTTCCAACGTTAATAAAGACTTTATAACACAATATAAAAAAGTTAGGTAAAGATAATTATCAAATTCATGAGATTCATTTTTTAATTTAGAATTAATTATATGTTAACAAATATAATTATTTTTCAAAATAAAGACTTTATCCCATAATATAAAAAATTAAAATAAGGATAATTATCAAATAAATGAAATTCGTTTTTAATTTATAATTAATTATATATTAACTAATATAACTGTTTTTCAAGGTTAATAAAGACTTTATAACCCAATATAAAATAGTTTTAGATAAAGATAAATCTAAAATCATTGAAATTATTTTTTATTTATTTTTAAACGATATTAACCGATCTAACTTTCAACGTGAGAGTTACAAAGTAATCAGAAAATTCACTTAAATTTTATAATCGAAAATATATTTTTAAGATAACAATCTAATACAAAAGAATTAACATATTTACTAAAAATAATAATAATATTAACATAAATTCGTTTTTATTTTATAATAAATTATTAAAACATGAAAATAAGCAAAATAACCTAAAATCATGGAGAAGTTGACAACCAAGCAAATTTACTTCTCAAATAATGTTATAGATAGATGAAAAATATATTTTTAAGATAACAATCTAATACAAAAAATAACATATTTTCTAAAAATATAATATTATTAACATAAATTGATTTTTATTATATAATAAATTATTAAAACATGAAAATAAGAAAACTAACCTAAAATCACAACTAAGCAAATTTACTTCTCAAATAATGTTATAGATTGTAATTTGGATATAAGACGAGTGTTTTACTGGGGCTTTGTCTAGTACTGATCCGACCATGTGTATAATGTCACATGGTATACTAATATGTCACATTTGGCGAACTAACCTCTTAGTATTTTTCTATTTGTTGGGGGTACTAGCAAATCACAATAATATTGTTCTGAGATTCAGGACTACGATGTATTCAAGGACCACAAAATATGTAAAATAACTTTAATTACTTATTATTATATTATCGGTTATAAAATTTACAGGACCACAAATATTTAATGTAATAAATTACTAAATTTGTATATTTGATGTTATACGTACATCACGCTGGGCCAAGCATGGGCCGAGTTTCATCGGAGTCCGTCTGGGCCGAGTATGGGCCGAGTCTTAGTTATGTTTTAAACTTTTAATAAACAAAAAAATAAGGGAGATTTGATAGATCATGAGACTCTCGAAGAAAGATTAGACAGATAACAGAAAAAGGTTGAAAGTTGGTGGGAGATTAAGCTCTCTCTCTCGCTCAACCTCTCCAGTAGATCGGAGATAATGGCTGCCAATTTCTGGGATTCGTCTCAATAGTAACATTCTACCCTTTGAATGACAACTACTACTTCTTCTCGTATCCAAATTTAATGTCTATTTTTCTGTGTTTTGGTTTTGGGTTTGTTACGAGCAGCAAACAGCTTTTGGACCAAGAAGAAGTCGATGCAGTTCACCCTCTCGACAAAGAACGTGGAATCTCCACAGAGGATTTCAAGCTCATCAAGTTCCACATGTCTAATCGTACGTAGCTGCTCTGAGCTTTTAACCACAAATCATAAAGTTTGATACTTTACAGATCTATCAGAAGAAAGTGTTTTGCTTTTCTGCTGTGTTGTTGAATGCCCTCTTTGTGTTTGTTTCAGATATAACGAAACTAGCTCAGCACATTAAAGTGAGGCAAAGGTTGGTTCTTTTTTAATTTTTTTTTGATATCCAATTCGATTCTGTTGCATTATTACATCAATTTCTGTTTTGATTTTGTGTCACCTGTAATACTATTTGAATCCTTTCTGTGTTTTCTACTTAATGCAGGGTTGTGGCTACCGCAATAACGTATATGAGACGGGTTTATACAAGGTATGCTATGTGTATTTTTCTCTATGGTCTTTATCAAAGTGCATCTTGTTGTGTTTGTGAGGAATGAAAAATGAGTTAAGACAAGTGTGTTAACAATTTTTTTTCAGTTTTAGCCTCTAATATGTTTCTTTTGATGTTATACTTTGTCTCAGGAAGAGCATGGTAGAGTTTGAGCCTCGTCTTGTTGCTATTACATGCTTGTACCTGGCTTCTAAAGCTGAAGAGAGTATAGTCCAGGCCAGGAATCTTGTTTTTTACATCAAAAAATTGTGTAATATCTTCTAACTGTGTTTTTGACTTTTCACTGTGCTACAAAAATTATATTGAGATATTAACAATGGGCTCTTATGTCGTTGCAGATCCGGATGAGTACAAATATGAATTAAAAGACATATTAGGAATGGAGATGAAGGTCTTAGAAGCACTCGACTATTATCTGGTTGTGTTTCATCCTTACCGCTCTTTATCTACGTATGTGCTTAGTTACCTCTCTTTACTGCCTTTCAGTAGCATGCAATATGAATATGTTGTCTTATTTTCTGTGGTTGCGAACTGATAAGAGATGATTGCAAGTGTAGGTGATAATACATGTAAAACTTAACAGTCTTCCCATTCTGATTTCTCAGGTTTTTGCAAGATGCTGGATTTAACGATGTAAATATGAACCCGATTACATGGTAAAGTCATCCTGATTGAGAAGTTTTACTTAGAATTCGTTTCCTAGCGACAACACTAGGATCTAAGATCTCTGACCTGTGTATGAATATTATCTTAAAACACCAAGATGTTTTTATTTGTTTTGTGTTTCAGGGGAATTGTCAACGATACTTATAAGATGGACCTGATTCTTGTACACCCTCCCTATCGCATAGCTCTAGCGTGCATATACGTAGCAAGTGTCTACAGAGAGAAAGATATCACTGCATGGTTTCAAGATCTTCACGAGGATATGAACTTGGTACACTACAAACATGTTCTAACTTTTGCATTTTATTCAAGTTAACGTCCAGCTAATTCTTTTGTGTGGTTTAGTTAGCGTTGACATTGAAACCTTACTGGATTAAGTGTTTAACATGGGGGAAAATCGTTTGCAGGTGAAGAACATTGCCATGGAGATTCTGGACTTCTACGAGAACTATAGAATGATCACCGATGAAAAAGTGAGCTCTGCGTTCAGCAAACTGGCTTTGAAGCCGTAGCAGCTAGGGAATAGCCTCCATCTCCAGGATTTATCTGATGCTCTATTTTTACAGAAAAAAGGATTAGAGACATTCTCAGTTGCCAATACAGTATTAGTTTTGTGGCATACTTGTAACATTATTGTTAAAAATCTACCAAACTGGAATCTTTAAAGTGATATGATAACTTCATCTACTGAAACGTTGTTGGGATCAAAAGTTGAAATTCTTATAAAGAGGATAGGAGAAACAGAGTTCTTGTTTCATTGTTTCGTACACGCAAAAATAAAAACATAACACATGAAACCATGTGCAGGAGGTAGTTGTAAACAGTGAGACCTGGTCCAAAACCAAACAAGACTCCCTATTTTAACCCTTCTCCTGTCGTAGCTGCACCATCCTCTGCTGTTTTCCTCCTAATCTCATCAAGTATAAACATGACGCTGGCACTGGACATGTTTACATACTCAGCTCAACATGTGACGAGTCGCTCTCAACTTCTCTGCCTTTAGTCCTAGCTTCTTCTCAACCTTGTCCAAGATCGCTGGACCACCTGGATGAGCTATCCAGAAGAGAGAGTTCCAGTCGCTTATCCCGAGCGGCTTAAACCCTTCTTCAAGACTCTTCTCGATGTTCTTGGAGATGAGCTCGGGTACAGTCTTCAGGAGATGGAAGGCGAGTCCCACCTCTGTTAGATGTCCTTATATTCTCCTTCTGAGTCAGGGAAGAGTCTCACACCATCTCAAAGATTGGTTTCTCTCCCACAGAGGTGTCCGGATCTGAACCAACTATAACTGCTGCTGCCCCATCACTAAAGAGGGACTGTCCAAAAAGGGAGTCGAAATGGGTCTGATTATTGATACATGATTTCCAAGTAGTAAAGTTGTGGTGTGAGTGAGAGCAATGGTGGGTGGCCTACGGGATTTCTTGGCTTACTCCAAGCTTCGATCTATTAGGATCAAAAGAAAAAGGTGCAAAATCACCCAATGTCGTGTAAGAAAAAAACACAAGCGTTGGTATCTTACTCTCTGGGTAAGTTGATTAAGAGGAGAAAAAGAAGAGCATATCATTTATTTCTCCCCAACAAAGTAGATACGAACGAGGTTTGCACAACACACTGGGTATGGAGCTAATAATAAGCTATGTTTACATTTAGCATGACATCATTCACATATCCGCAGTAACACACACACGGAACCCATGTGTGATGGAATGCAAGTAGGGAATCAAAATTGCGTGCAGAACCAAATGCCACACACATCCTGGCCCTTAAGATACAACATCTTGAGCAAATGGTCAACAACATTCAACCTCCCTATGGACCTCCTCTACGTACATCTTCCTCAGCAGTGATTTTCCAACTCAGACAGAACTTTGTGGGTGTGAATGCTGTGTCGGCCTCCTTTATGCGCCATCATCGATGCTGCTAACAGAGCAGAAACTGCTGTAGAGTCGCCTTGTGCGAGGGAAACTTCTTCTCATGGGTTGTGCCGTAGGAACATCAGAAAATACAGCCACAGCTAAAAGGGAACAACATATGGAAGAGCTAACATGTCGGCAGATTCTATTTTGAAAGCTTGGTTCCACACCTGCAAGGATTCAACAGAATCAGGAGAATATGTTCTTGCCTTTTTTAACTTGACACCTAACGGACCATACAGCCATTCTTCGTCGTTATCAACCTCCAGAAACAGCTCTCTTTTCGGTACACTGAGTATCTGATCCAGATACTTTAGGTCCGGATGAGGTGGCTTTGGGGGTGCTTGACCATTTTCTTTCACTTTCGCTTTCATTGTTGCAGCCAAAGGACTCAGTGAACAGACCTTTTCTTTTTCTCCAGGGACAACAAAACCGTTAATCTTAACTTCCTTGACTTCTGGCTTGCAGGCCTTTCCTTGCATCTCAGAAGCAGGACTACGGTGTGGACCTAACGTTCTTCCGTTTTCCACAGATGAGACTGATGCTGAGTGCCTCTGTAACTTGTTTGGTTTGGTTCCATTCTCTGCACAAGAATTAAAGACTAGTGTTAAACGAGTAGCATCCTCGATAAAAAATACAATGTCAACGTTAAATTAACGGGATCTGGCATCAGTAGGGCAAATAACAACCACACTACTCAAAAATAAAAAAAAGATTGAATAGTCTTTTGAAGGTAAGAAAACATACCACGATTGTTTGTATAAAACTATTAATATGGCAACTACACACATATATCCTTCCTCATTCACCAGAAAGTGAATTGGATCAGGTAATAACTCACCATACAAGAGTCCATTTGTGTCAAGATCCATCCGCTTGCCAAGACTTTTCTCAGCAATAAGATTATTGACACTCGCCCGTGACATGTCAGGCGGTCTGCCATTCCTTATATCCAGAGAGTCCTTTCCCCTATCCTTGAATCTGGGCTCTTCTATCAATCTTGGTTTTTCCTGATGAGTTTCATTTATTGACTCTGTTTTCTTCTCCTTATTTCTGTCTGTATCCTTTGCTTCGAGTTTTTTTACACCTTTATCTCTTGGTTTATCACTCATTGCCACACTTTCCTTGCGGTAAATCTTCTCAGCTGATTCTGTATGCATCGCCTTGTCTCTGTTCTCCATTGGTTTACACATAGCCAAAGCTCTTTTCTGATCTGCACCAAATGATTCTCGAGCATTTTCAGAACTTTTTGCCCCAGCAACATTCTTCTGGGTACTGATTCTCTTATCATCATTCTCCCTATCGTTTATTACTTGATTTGGGGAGAAACTGCTGTTTACAAATGTTTTTCCTGGTATTCCTTTTTGGTTAGTAATCCTTTGTGCACTCTGACTTCCTGTCGCTTCTTCGTCATATCGGATCCTTCTTGCCAGTTCATGTACATACTTTGACTCTCCATTACTATTATTGGTCCCTGTGTTTGTCAGCACTTCGGCTTTCTTCTCCTCCAAAGGTTTGCATTTTTCTTTATCCTTGTCTTTACGATCTTCAAGTTTCTCTTTTTTCTCCTTTCTTTCCTTATGTTTGTCTCTACTTCTATCTCTACTCTTTTTCTCTTTACCCTCTTTCTTTTCTTTGTCCTTATCCTTCTTGGGTTTCTTTTCCTTACACTTCTCCTGCAATCCCATGATGAAAAACATATACATATAAGGGTAGATCACAAGATTTCATATGTACTTTTGAGGCCACATCAGATAGTTACACATAAAACAGATTGTACATGTCAGAAGTCTCAACATAGCATACTAAAGCATTTCAGCAGTTTTTTTTTCGTTTACACAGGGAAATCTAACTTTTGGAAAGAAAGAATTCATTTTTGCCATTCAAGGTTGATACCTTGTAGTAGGTAACTAGTATGCTGATCACTCTGCTGTAAACTACCACTAGTAAGTTCAAGCTCCTCAACTACTCTTTCTGAGTATCATTCACTACAGCGTCTTTAGAAAGCTAACTACACCAATTCAAATGAATACTCAAGGCTTGACCACCTAGCAATGACCTTTATAACGAGAGACTAATTCTACAGAGTCTATAATTCCCCTACTCAAACGGGTTTCCCAACTACTTCTCTAAGTCCTAGGAAAGAGCACAAACGATACAAAGAGTTGCATGAACCCATTAGACTCCAGTCTCATCATGCTATGCTTGAATTTACTCCAAACTTTGTTTCTAAGCTTTAGAAACACCAGACAGACTATGATTCAAAGTAGAGTAAGTTGCAAGAGTCAAACATATGAAACCTTTAAGAGAGGGTCAGCAGTGTCGTGAGTTGCAAACTTCTTGTCATAACCTGGTGGAGGAAACGGGAAACAGCGAGACATGGCACTTGTCCTTGCTAACTGTAAAACAGAACACTTTCACCACACTCCAACAACTGTTTAGCTCCTTTACGCCAGCACTTGACCAGATCAGAGAATCCCTGATCCAGTACACCATTCCAGCTCAGAATTTCACTTTCTGACCTCCAAGAAATCAATTTCAAAGTCCCCAAAAATTCTAAAACTCCTTATAACTTGGCAAGTTAGTTATATACACCTCAGAAACCCTGATACTTGGGTTGAATAACCCTCAGAGATTGGTCTTTTCAAGATTGATAATAGCCTGCCACCAGAAACTGAGATCAGAAAGAATTTCACAAACATCCATAACTCAGAGTAACAAGGTTTTAATAGATAAGAAGAGTCTTTATTAGCATCTCAAAAGCACCTTATATTAATATTATTATTATGAGCTTAATTGATCAAAATTAAGCAACTTCCAGGCAGGACACAACAAGTGGTCTCTCTTAGCTCAGATTAAATGCTAAGAACACACACAATTCAATCCTCACACGCTTTCAAGTGTTTAAGTATATGATCTGATTCCACTGGCGATCTAATCAAAACCTGAAAAAACAAATCAATTGAAAGAAAAAATGTCAAATCAAAGATTTCAGTTTAAGAAACAGAAGAAGTTCCCTACAGCAAGGAAAAATCAATCTAAAAAAATCTCTCTTCTAAGCTACATATATATATATATACCTTTTCTCTCTGTATTTATATATACAGTAATAATGCTCTTCTCTATGGGGTTTTATTTTAAAAAACTACGGGCGTAATTTTGATGGGTTGGCTTTTAGATGGGAAGAAGAAACTCTCTCTCTCTCTCTCTCTCTCTTTTCTTTTCTCTCTCTGTCTCTCTCAAAATCACAGCCAAGGAATGAGAAAAGTTTGGGCAAATAACGTCAAGTGTGAATTTATAAATGGCGAAAATGAAGAGCGACACGTGTCAGTTGCTTGTGATCATTCGCTTAGACTAAAAGGCTTTTTTTGGGCTTAGCCCGAGTCATTCATTGACTATATGTTATAAGTTGAGTCTTTTTTTAATATCGGAAAGGTAACATACAAAAATAATTGCAATGTGCTTATAAATTTCAAGTATTCATTCGGGTTTGATCCCAACTGTGATGCAGTGCAGTTTTAACTATTAGCATTCGAAACGTTAAGCTTTGTCTTTCACTGAGAACCAACACATGATAGAACACATAACAGCTACAAAACAAACCCAGTCTCTCTGTGTAAACACACTATACATATAATCACGCAAACTATAGACCAAAAACAAACAGTTTTCATTAGCCCTGTAGACACCTTTCGTATTCACTCCCTCTCTATATATATGGAGTCTGCACCAAAAAAAAGATACCAAACTGGTTCATATCAGACACTGCTATTCTCCTCTGCATTCTCATTCTCCTTGAGCTTAAACGCACCGTCTACATACTCCTCTGTGTCCCATAGAAACGTACCAAACGCCACAGCCTCCAGAAGCAGTCTCTTCAAGCTCGAAAACGATGTCGTCACGATCATGCTCCCTTCCTCCTTCTCCTCTGAACCAAAAAGAGCCAAGCTCTGCTTCTCTATCAAGTTCTTAGCTTCACGTGACCTCGGCTTCGCGCATCTCTGCAAAATCTTAGGATCAAACCCTGAGATATAATGTCTCAGCTGCTTGGTAATGCCTTCGGACAGCGAGCATTCGAGTTGGTGCCTGAGTGAAGCCGATTTCAAAAAGTAACCATATAAAACCGAAGCTGTGTAGACTCTACTGAGATGATGCTTATCGATCTCGGTCGTCTCCAAATCATCAGTCAAAGTTGAATCCACTCTCAAACTAATGACTGCGTTACTATGTTCCTTGATGAGTTCAAGAACGTCCAAGGTGTGGATTGATTCGAGCTCCCAGTCTTTAGAAGGCCAGATCTCGAGTCTTCCGTTGTAGACACAGCTCGAGAGCTTTGGAACAAGAGGTACACGAATCTCCGAGAATTTGTACAAGATTAACATGTACATTATGTCTTCAATCGCGGTTTGGCAATTACTCTCCTTGAGTTGAGCTATCCTTCTGTCAAAAACAGAGAATCAAAAACAGAGAAAGAGAGTCCAAATAGATTATTAGCCTATCATATGAACTGAAACATAGTAAAGACCCAAGCTTTTAATTAGATTAAGAAATAATCTGAACTGAAACGTAGTAAAGACCAAAGCTTTTGAGTAGATTGAATCAAAAACAGAGAATCAAAAACAGAGAAACAGAGTACACATAGATTAGTCCTATCATATGAACTGAAATATAGTAAAGACCGAAGCTTTTTAAGTAGATTAAGCCATAATATGAAGTGAAACTTAGAAAAGACCAAAGCTTTAAGCAGATTGAATCAAAAACAGAGAATCAAAAACAGAGAAACAGAGTCTAAATAGATTAGCCCTATCATATGAACTGAAACATAGTAAAGACCGAAGCTTTTAAGTAGATTAAGCAATAATATGAACTGAAACATAGAAAAGACTGAAGCTTTAGAAAGATTGATATGTGTTTGTGTTCAATGATTGAATCATATGATTGGTGGAAAGTGGAAGGTTAGAGATAAGAACCTGTGGAGAGAAGCTTCATCGGATCCAGAACTAAGGAACATGCGAGATAAAGCAGCTTCCTTGTCTTCCGCGAGCTGTTTGAGCAAATCAGCGACGGCGAAATGAAAAAGCGGCCGCTTTTTCGACAAGACGCAGCTTAGAAACTTCCCCTGAGCCGAGCGGGGTAGGAGAGGAGCGTCGAGGCTCGCTCCCGCTCCCGCGGAGGCAACAACCACCATCGAATCGTACCGGAGCTTACGCCGCCACGGGAAGAGAGCGCAAACGCCGCCGTTTCGATGTCTGAGGGAATCGCGGCGGGAGGGGAGAAAGGGGAGGGATCCCTGGTGGGAGAGAGAGGTGGCGTCCATGAAACAGAGGAAGGAGAAGGAGATTGAAGAGTCAGTGGGAGGAGCAGAGAGATTTGGATAAGGTAAAGGGAAAATAAGAGTAAAATCTTTATAAGCTTTTGAAGCATCGATATTTGCCTTTTGTGTGGTTATTGCTGCGTCTCTGCAAGTTGATTGACTGGTAAAGCGATGTTTGATTGTGATTTTTTGACATTCATATGTATTGACAAGATGGGCTTAGGGAAACAAATATAAGCCCAGGCCCAATAAGCTGCTTGATTTTCCTTTGAGCTTAAGACAGAACAGACACTGTGAAGAAGGAAAAAGCAAAAGAGTGTGAAGCTATTTTGGCGAGAGAAAGATGTATCTCCGTTACTCACTTTTCTTGATCCTCTTCTCTCTCATTTCACTCCAAGGTTTTCATTTTAGATTTTTATTACATGCTCCGATCCTCTTCTGTTTATCAATTTGCGTCAAATCTAATATTACTATTTGTATTGGATCTGTTTTTTTTTTTTCATGTATAGGTTTTGCCAAGAAGACAGGAGATGTGTCGGAACTGCAGATCGGTGTTAAGGTACATTTTCTCACTGTAGATCTTTAGCTTCTTCTTTTTTTTGAGTAACGGAAACAGTTTTACCTATAATAGTGATGTTGGACCCTCATCATTGTAGATCGAATCTACTATCTATTAGGTTTGCGCGATGATCTGAACAACATTGTTTCTTCTTTTTTGATTGTGCTGTGTTCTGCTAAGTAGAAGATCTATTTTAACAAAGATACATATAGCTTATTGATTGTTTTCTATGTTTCAGAGATGATAAAGAGAGTTTAAATCCTTGATTCTTATCATCTTCACTTGATTTTTATCCGCAGTTTAAGCCAAAAACATGTGACGTGAAGGCTCACAAAGGTGATATGATCAAAGTGCACTACAGGGTAAGCTTGACCATATCTTAGGACAAAATTGGACTCATCATCATCATCCTATAGAAATATTTGCGCATTTGTTGTTTAACTTAGTGTTATGTGACAGGGGAAACTTACTGATGGAACGGTATTTGATTCGAGCTTTGAAAGGAATGAACCTTTTGAGTTTGAGTTAGGAAGTGGTCAGGTTATCAAAGGTTGGTGACTTGGTTCGATCTATCCTCTTTTGAACTTTGAATCTCTCACTTTTTTTATCTATTCTCTTAGTTCCTGCGATTGTACTATTTTTACAGGTTGGGATCAAGGATTGCTAGGCGCGTGTGTAGGAGAGAAGAGGAAGTTAAAGATACCTGCTAAACTTGGATATGGTGAACAAGGCTCTCCTCCTACTATCCCCGGTATCTTATACCTTTCATCGTCTATAACCTTTTTTTAAATGTGTATGTTATGAAACACTGGTTTGGTTTCTGAGTTTATGACTAAAAACAATGTTGCAAACTTCAGGTGGTGCAACATTGATATTTGACACAGAGCTTATTGCGGTGAATGAAAAACCAACTGGTGGTGCCGAAGAAAATGAAGAAGACGGAGAAAATGATGTAGACGACACATATGGAGCTGACGAGCTATGATTGGATCTCCATTCTCCAACAGTTTAGCTTCTTCAGAGTTCTACGAATAAACTGTCTATGTGCGTTTGTTTTTTTAAACCTTTGGATGCTTTTAGTTTTGGATTCTCTCTATAGTTATCAACGACTTCATTTTGGTCTGGCTTCTAATAAACAGTGAAACTGGTCATAATGCTTCAGATTAGAAAAATTATGGCCATTGCAAAAGGCCATTTCAATGATAAACTTGGGAAAATTCCAAAAAAATATTCTAGCTAAATTTTGATAATTTTTTTTTTAATTTTAATATTTCAGCTAATTAAACTAATTATTTTGTTTATTTTAATATATCAATTTAAAAATGTGTTAATTTTAAAATAAATACTCCCTCTGTTCCTATAAGATCTTTTTTTCACTTTTTAATTAAACACAATAAATTTGCATAGTTTTTTGTTTTTATCTTTTTTCATAATTTTAAACCAATAAAAAATCAATTAGTGCAACTAAATTTTTTTGAAATTTACTATTTGTTAATAAAACATACATTGAAAATGTAGAAAATGGATTTTTTATAAACAATTTTTTTTTAAGGAACTTATGGAGTATTTTATAAAATTAAAAGATTAATAAGTTTCAAAAAAAAATCTAAAAAATTTAAAACCTTAGAAAATTTAATTGTAAATTTAAAAAAAGTAATTTTTATTTTTGCTACAAACAAATAAAAAATCGATTGTAAAAGAAAAAAGTTGTTAACTATAAAAGCAAGACCCGCTCAAAAGGAACTAAAAAAAAAATCACCAACGGTATCTGGAAACATCGGGAGGATTCAACGGCTCTTGACCATAAAAATAAAAACTTCAGAATTCTCCAGAACCTCTCTTCTACACACAAGGCTATAAATTTCATTACAATGTTGCCAACAAAACAACTTGTCAAGAATCTCTCAAAACACTTTTACACACTCTCTAGAACTTCTCTTGTAATTTCATCTTTCACTCTCATCATCCGAAATGGCAGACGATTTCGACATGGAGCTTCCACCAGAGGAGGCAGAGGAGATGGACTTGGATCTCGCCGACGATGCCGAATCTGATCCTTCCTTGAAAGTCGGAGAGGAGAAGGAGATAGGGAAGTCAGGGTTGAAGAAGAAGCTTGTCAAGGAAGGTGAAAAATGGGACACTCCTGAGAACGGAGATGAAGTTGAAGGTATTTGTTTTAATCTCCTAGCTAGTCCCTTCCTTCTGGTATCTAACCATGTATCTGTATTCAGATCCTGAGGCTCTTATCATGATGTTTTCTTGCAGTGCACTATACCGGAACTTTGTTAGATGGGACCAAGTTTGATTCAAGCCGTGACAGAGGAGATCCTTTCAAATTCAAGCTTGGCCAAGGTAATTTCTGTAATTATGAAAGGCTTTTTGTATTATAGTCGTTAGAAGAGATATTAAAGATATTAACTAGTATATCAAAAATTCAATTTGGAACTATGAAATTATATTAATTTATAGAGATATTAATTTAAAGAGGTTATATTTTAATTTATTTTTTTATTGGTTAAAATATGGTTAGTTGGTTAAAATGTGGTTAGTTGTATAGGTAATTGTGTTTTTATATAGAAAATATGAAAATTAATTGTTTAAATGACAGAGGAAGTAATTGATTTTAGGTTGGAAGTTTATTAATTGGTTTTAGGTTTTAGTTATAAGTCTGTCTAGATTATGCTCTCTGGTCTGATAGAGATCTTGTGTTAAAGTTTGGAGGGTGATAATGAGCTAGTTACTGGTGTTCTTCTTGAGTACTGAAATTTATTTGGTTTTGTTTTGATTTAGGGCAAGTGATCAAAGGATGGGACATAGGGATCAAGACGATGAAGAAAGGAGAAAACGCTATTTTCACCATTCCACCCGAGCTAGCATATGGTGAAACTGGTTCACCACCGACTATTCCTCCGAATGCTACTCTTCAATTTGATGTGGAGCTTTTATCGTGGAGGAGTGTTAAGGATATATGTGGTGATGGTGGTTTGTTCAAGAAGATTATTGTGGAAGGAGAGAAGTGGGAGAAGCCAAAGGACCTTGATGAAGTGTACGGTGAGTGTTCTTTTAAATGTATAGTTTCTGTGTATTTGCTTCGGAGCGTGATTCTCATTGGCTTTTTTTATGGTTTGGTTTCTTCGTTGCAGTTAAGTATGAAGCTCGGCTTGAGGATGGAACTGTTGTTGGAAGATCTGATGGTGCAGAGTTCACTGTCAAGGAGGGTTAGTGTTGTGTCTTCTTTATTGAGTCTTATTTGTCGCTTAAGTGTTACTAAAGGGTGTAATCCATATCATGAAACAGGCCATTTCTGTCCTGCGTTTGCTAAAGCTGTAAAGACCATGAAAAGAGGGGAAAAGGTGCTTCTAACTGTCAAGCCACAATGTGAGTTTTTTTCTTAGCTGGTGGTTGTCCTTTGTTAGAGGTGATGCAGTGAACTTAGATGTCTGACTTGTGTATGTGACTGATGCAGATGGCTTTGGGGAAACAGGAAGATCAGCTTCTGATGGTATTCTAGCTGCAGTCCCACCAAACGCGACTCTCCAGGTCGACCTTGAGTTGGTTTCTTGGAAGACTGTCGTGGAAGTAACTGATGACAAGAAGGTCATCAAGAAAATATTGAAGGAAGGAGAAGGATATGAGCGTCCAAATGAAGGAGCAGTTGTCACATGTAAGTCTTCTAAGGGTCTCTGATATGAAGAGTTTACAAAAGCTACTGACGACTAAGTTATTTTGATCTATTGCAGTGAAGTTGATTGGTAAGCTTCAAGATGGAACTGTGTTCTTGAAGAAAGGTCATGCAGAAGACGAGGAGCCATTCGAGTTCAAGACAGATGAAGGTATATAAAAAGAGAAGCTCAAATCTCGCTATGCAATGATGATTTTGTATTGAGTAGTTAAAGAATTGTGTTTTTGTGCAGAACAAGTTATTGAAGGGCTTGAGAAAGCTGTGATGGGCATGAAGAAGGGTGAGGTTGCCCACATCACCATCTCGCCAGAGTATGCCTTTGGTTCCTCTGAATCAAAACAGGATCTAGCTGTGATACCTCCAGACTCAACAGTTAGCTACGAGGTTGAGATCGTATCCTTCATTAAGGTGAGAACATTTACTTTCTGAGGGTTAAGTCTTTCTCCATGAATGTAACTTAACTGTGAGCTAAAATATATCGTCTACATTTACAATTGCGATGCTTCAGGAGAAAGAGTCTTGGGACATGAACACAGGGGAGAAGATAGAAGCTGCTGGCAAGAAGAAGGAAGAGGGGAATACGCTATTCAAGGCTGGAAAATACGCAAGAGCTTCAAAAAGATACGAGAGGGTTAGGACTCAAACCTGTGCCTCTTGCTATGTTTGTATAAAAGAAAATCATGTTTGGGTTTAGGTTTTGACATCAAGCTTCGTATGCCAGGGTGTCAAGTTCATAGAGTATGACTCGAGCTTCGATGAAGAGGACAAAAAGAAGGCTAAAGCTCTGAAGATTGCTTGTAACCTGAACAATGCAGCTTGCAAGCTGAAACTGAAAGATTACAAAGAGGCGGCAAAACTTTCCACGAAGGTAAAAGCAAACGATTCTAAGTTTCGGAGATTTTGGATATTCTAGTAAGAGAAGAGTAAGTAGTGAGTGAACGGATGTGAACAGGTGTTGGAGATGGACGGAAGCAACGTGAAAGCGATGTATAGGAGGGCACATGCGTATATGGAGACGGCTGATCTTGATCTAGCTGAGCTTGATATCAAGAAAGCTCTTGAAATTGACCCGGACAACAAGTGAGTAATGCGTTCTGTATTACGTCAGTTATCTTTTCTTGGATGTAACGAGTTCTAACATCCTGTGTCTGTACAGGGAGGTCAAGATAGAATACAAGAAGCTGAAGGAGAAGGTGAAAGAGTACAATAAGAAAGATGCCAAGTTCTACAGCAACATGCTGGCGAAAATGCTTGAGCCACACGTAAGTAGTTTTAAGAGGAGAGTTAACAGGCAAAGATAAGATCATAAGAAAGGCCTTTTGTTTAACGTATCAATTAACTCTTGTTTGTGCTAAATTGTGCAGAAAGAAGCTCGGAAGGACGCGCAAGCGATGAGTATTGACACCAAGGCATGAGGCGAGACACTTGAGAATGTTTTACTACGCCAGAAAAATGTATTACAAATATCTGTTATCCCATTTGTAAACGATCTTGGTGTGTGTGATTGTTATGGATGATTTTGCTCTTATTATAAAACAGACTTTGTAATAAAAGTGTCCAAGTTCTTAACCAATCCAAAACCTCGGCATCTATATGTATAGCACAGACAATCTCTCTCTCCATAGAAGACATTCTTTGACTTTTGTTAACACAAGACTTCGCATCAGTGTGGTTCTACCTCCACGACTGCCGCTACTGCCTGAGATAATAAACTTGGGGAATGTCTCTCACAATGTCAGTGTGAGCAGTTGTAAGACCTCCAAGCCCTAGAAGTGACTAGTAACCTGGCAGTGATTTGATCTGATGTTTTTATATGCTTCAGGTGGTAAGATTACCAAATATTTTAGGAAACTGACTTGACATGTTCCCCAGTCAAATCTAGACCGACCACAACGAAAGTGGTTCCTTGGAAACAGAGGAATTAGAAGTGTATTCGTCGTGCTCACAATAAGCTTCTTGCCAAAGCTGCCAACAGTATTGGTGCTACTCCCTGTTTTCTTCCGTACAGTCGGTTCCTTCTGATATTGCATGCTTTCGTAACTTGTTTCCTGAACCAGAGAAAGATCGTTCGATGTTTGTTTGAATCAACCTCTGGCAAACGAAGGTAATGTTTAGATGTGCGTTGAGAATTGTCAAGAAAGTAATAATATATTAATATTGTTGTTGTTTAGTTCTAATTTTAACTATTTTAAATTTTATCTTATTGTTTTTAAAAAAAATATGTGTAAAATTTATATCTATAAAAAATTGAAATATTTATGAAATAAAATTTTTTAAGAATTAAAATGATAAACCATAAAATATATAAGAATTATAAATATAATGTATAATTGTAGAGATTCAAATACAAATAAAAATATGAAACTTTAAATTTGAGTTTTGAGTAGTGACACTCTATATTTGAAGTTTCACTATTTAGAATTTCAAATCTGAAGTTTTTTTTTAAAAAAATTGGAGAACCAAAAACTTCATATTTAAAGTTATAGTCTATCTTTTGGATATGTTTTTAACCCGTCTACATTTTTCTTTTTTTTTTTTGAGAAATCCCGTCTACATTTTCTTACTACTAGTAGTAACCCGTCTACATTTTCTTACTACTAGTTTTATTTGTTACAATTATTTCCAAAAGTTAGGTTAATGTTTTCGTATATGCAGCTCATTAGTACAGTATATCAATTTTATAATAATCTGCTACAAAATTCAAACATAGAAGTCAGTAACAATCCCATCCGAATCAATCAATTTTTTGTTGTTTAAGATTATATATGAATTTCGTCGTATACATGCAACATGGGTAATCTACAGATGCATGAACCTACAAATAGAAATATATGAATGTCAAAGGGAATGTCCACTGGGTTGATATTCATTCGTAAATAGTAATCAAGGAATTGCCATGGCACAATATGTGGTTCCACTAAGCAAGAAGTAATATATTGTCTTCTTAGAAGAAGAAAGAACGAACAATTATATTATCGCCCACCACAGTGCATTTTAAGAATAAAATATTATCGGTTCGGATATCGATCATTTTGACTAATGAAACCTCTCATATATGAATATAATCCATAATATACGTATGTGATAGTTTGACCTAGGTTTATGGTGATTGATTGACTATTAAAATTAGTGTACAAATCCAACCATAAAAACTATTTACGTATCCCAAGGTGTACTTGTTACAAATAAACCGGGTCAAACATTTCAAAGGAACGTTTTATTTTCTAAGATCTTTTAGAAACTATAAAAATTTCTAAAAGAAAAAATAATATGAATATTATAATTACTAAATTATTTTTATTTTTTTTAAACCATTGAAAACACTAATTTCTTAAGAAGTTTGAAATGAGAACTTTTGATCTTCTCTCTTCTTCTTTTCTTGACATAATACTTATCATTGGAGCTGCTCTTAATAGAAATGTACAACATGTAATCAAAAGGAATGAACCATAACCATAATAATGTATTTGGCCATTTGAGATATGTTCAGACAAAGAAAGAATAGGCCTTTGGGCGACATAAACATAACACTAAGTGATTTGCCACTATGCAACATTTTAGAGATTTTTAAAAAAAAGTGTATGTCACATGAAGATTGTCATTACTCCGAGCAAGTTTTTAATGTCGTTAAAGTTCCGAGTGAGATGCAACTACTCTTCAATAATAGTAATATTATAGTATAATATATAGACCACCCACATTCAAAGCATCTTCTTCTTCTTTTTTTTTCTTTCTAGCTTTCAAAATAGAATATATTAAAGCATTAGTAAATTTATACAAATTAATTCACCCTAACCTATATTCCTATGTTCAATAATTCAATCCGTAATTTTTTACACGTACAATTAAAGCTGCAACTGAAGACTAATAAAAGCAGAAAGGTTTATTAACTCACTTTAGAGATTTTTTATTAACCACTTCTCAATTATGAACATGAAAGTGGTTGGCGATTAGTTTAATCCATTATCATTATTCCTTGAGCTAATTCCACGAATCAGAGTCCATACATACCCATGTGGCTGCTAGTTTTTTAATTCCCTTTCACACTATTGAATTCATCGGTTAATCGTCGTATATACAGAGTTCCAGACACAATTATACGCATCATTGATTTTTTATTACATTGTAGATGATTAAGTGTTGGTTATTGGATGAATAAGTTGATCCAAAAAAAATGTTTACCTATTCAGTTTTCACACGTCAAACGTTGTGAAGATAAAACTGTAACACGCTTATGTATACATTTCTTTTACCTTTTATGATACTAGAAAACAAATTAAAGATAGTTGAATTTATCTTAAAAAATCAATTACGTTTGGTTGAAATCACATCATTACAAGGCAAGATTGTGTAATACTCAAACTATCAACCACCATTTTCCTGAAAATGGAACATGTACGTAGTTGATCAATCAATCTAAAGATTAGATGTTTAGTCTTATTAGTACCTAACGCCTTCTGGAATATTGTTTATATATCTGATAATGAATTTTAACAAAACCTAAATAATATTGAGCTACTACTAGAATAATTAAAGTAATTATTGATTAGAGAAGTATATTTAGTCGATCGCCTTCTTTATTGTTTATTGGACTTCGCCGGTGAAAGAAAACAAGAGCGGAACAGAAGCTTCTGCGTTTTCTCAATAATCATACACGTAAAAATCACAATCAGTCCACTTAATTTCCAGAACTAACAACTAAACCTCATTATAAATTTGTTTTTCAAATCAGTCCTCCACTTCAGAGACAGTTATTTCTAGAGATAGAGACATAACACCTTACACAGCTGGTTTACATTAGCAGATATTAAATCAACAAGAATCTAGGAATGAAAGTGATGTCGACCAATTTAGAGGTAAAAAGTATGAAATTCAGGATAGGATAAAATGAATAATCATTAAATCAGATAATAGTTCATCATTAAGAATTTGATTAATCATGCAAATGTTACTTTTTGCTTCATGATAATTGTCGGAAAGTTCTTTTTCATAAAGTGTATGATGTAAAAGAACTAGACTTAGACATGATCGGATACTATTTCTTGTAAACTTGATTCCAATCTACCAAAAAATTACGTCCCCTGTTTTTAATATTTTGTAACACAAACTTTTATTCATACTTAAACTCCAATGTCTAACGAAGCCAATACAAAAGGTATATTTAAAAACATATTTTTAGAAGAAAGTAATTTTTTTAGATTTTATGCATTAAGACAAAACATTATATTATGAAACAGAGAGTATATAACTATGTGCAAAAGTTTTGCATAGGATCCGAGTTAGGGTTAGTATCGTTCACTTACTCTAAATATATAAACATGGTTTTTGTTTAGATTAATTATCTTGGATTGTAGTGGACGATTATGAACTTACAATGATATCACATCAGAAAAGCAAAAAGAATCCAACGATAAACAATACAATTGTAACCTAATGAACAGAAAATTACATAATTTGATTAAAAAGGGGTAAAGTAAGTAAATATATAAAGGTAAAAATATGTTACTTTCGTAAATGTGTATATATATATGATGATGATGAGTATATGAATAAATCACAGAGATTGAAATGGTTATGTACACCCATCAATCCTTTTTTCCTTCTTATTATCTTCCTTGAGACCTTGAAAAAAAAACTGGTTGATCAAAGCTCAATTTTCATGTTTTGAGATTCATGGTTGGGGTTATGTGCCACTCCCATCCCTACAATGCTTTGTAAATCTTCTTCGCTAAACATTTGGTACTGAAAACAAACACATGATAAAATAAATGTTAGAACCATCTTAGTATATAAAATGGAACAAAAGAAAAGTCAAAAGAAATATTTTAAAAACCTGAGAAATTGAGTCAGTGAATTGGGCAAGTGTTGGTAAGTGGGTGAAGCCTCTGGCTAAGGTAGAGGGTTCCAGTGATTTCAGAGGAGGATGGAGCATCATGTTATTGGAAGAAGCATTGTTATGTAATTGTGAATTATCATTATAATCATGATGACTTAAAGACTCTAATTGGAGCCCTGATTCATGCATCCGGCTGCCGCTTGATGAAATCATCTGAACAAAATTCAATTTATAATATTTGAGATTGTATTTTTCTAATAGAAATTTACAAAAGGTCCTTTCTAAAAGAAATTAAAAAAGTAAAGTAAAAGTAATTAGAATTAATGCCAATGGGCCGAATGAAAAAGGTAGGTTAACACAACGACAAAAAAAGAGTAGTAGTAGTAGTAGAAATGATAACTATCAATTTCAAATGATCATTATTAATGGTTGTTAATTGATGTTAGTGTTTAAGGTGACTTACAGCATCCTTTGACACAAGAGCGTCCACGTTAAATTCCAGCCTGGTGTCGTTCACTGATGATAACTTCATTGACAAGAACTGCCAATTATTAAAACAAAAAAATGTTAGAGAAATTAATTGCAAAATACTGTAGTTGATATTCGGTGATTAATGAAACAATTAAATAAAATTTAGATGAAGCAAAACAAAATAATAATACCTCAACTTGTCTTTGCAATGATTGTACATAGTTTATAATTTCATCCAGCATCAGTGCCTTTCCAGTAACCTTTCATCGTATAAA